AGATGGCTTAATTTAATTTCCAAAAAAATAATTTTTTCGGGATTGCAAGTTGCGGAATTTTTATTATGTTCATGGGCCAGTTGGGTCACTTAGGCCATCTGAGGTTGTTAGGCCAGCTGGGATATAGATTTCTGAGCCGACTGGGCCAGCTGGGTCATTTGGACTAGTTGGGTCATTTGGGGCAAGTAGGTCATTTGGGTCAGCTGAAAGGACATTTCACCGGCATGCTTTGCGCGCCTAGTCGAACCATATTATCAACGCATATCTCACGTGACCTTATCATTCCTGCATACGCAAGTGGAGAGCGTTCCGAAGGCGATGGAGATTGTTGAAGGAAATTGCGCTCCCTTTTCGAACTCAAACGTTCTCTACATTCATTGTGTCGACTCCAATGTTAGATTCGAGTACTCTTTTAACGAAGCAGCTTCTCTGAACCTAATAACCATACTTGGACACGTAAGTTTTCCATCTGATCTGCGATCAAGACGGCTTGTGTTGTTCCTCTGCTCCAGCGAAGTAATGGATACTTTGAAGGATAAAAAGTCTCCAGTGGTATGGCGAGTGAAAGCAAGTTGTTTTTTCGAGGTGAGCTGACTATTGGTGCTCTTAATACCCTTCCTTATGTAGAAGTGGGATGAATGTCTTCTCTTGCGCGCGAGGGAACTCTCCTTATGTTTGCGGACTTAAAACCCTTACCAATCGCGAACCTTACTAACGTCCACGAACAATATAATTGCTGTGGTCCTTTGATTTTCAAATTTCTTTTACAGTATCTAATTCAAGATTTTCCATATTGTGGCTCGAATTATTTAGAGAGTTCGAATTCATGTTTGTTATGTTGCATTTAGGTATATACGTTTGCCATTCCTTTACTCTTCAGTAAAATTGTTGTCTATATTTGCAGATGGATGAAGGAAAGACAGTGGTTTTGATAAGCAAAATACAACTTTTGGATAATCAAAGCTTGGTAGCAGCACCTTTATGTCCACGAAATGATTATGGCAGCAATGACATCCCTGAAATGCCATGACTCGATTGCGATTCTGTGAGGTGTAATTGCAGTAAATTTCCTTTGTTGGGCAATGTGATCATACACAGTGTGGACATTTTTTCTCGAAATGTTAGGACTGAAGTGGATGAAGATGAGGACACTGGTAATGTATCTGATGATGCCCTGCCAGCTCCAGTTGATAATGGCAATGATGACAATTTAGATCCAGCAATCACACTTTACACAGAGTATATAAAATTGAAGGGCTGTACTTACCATGATCACTTTCAAGAAGTGCTCAAGGCTTGCGAGTTAAGGCTGCAGGCCAGTAATGAGATACACTTAAGGCTCTTCTATGAACCAGCAAATGTTGCAGATGAGAATGCTGTTGTGGCTCAAGTGTTACAAGATCAAGACTGGGTGCAAATTGGTTACATACCAGGAAAAAAAGTACAAAAAGTTCTTGATGCACTCCAATCGACATCCATCAAAGTTATCAAGATTAAGAAAATAGAACATTCTTACATTTGGTCCATTAGTGCATTTAAATATATTCCGACATTGATAGTCACTAAAGAGGGGCGTTGGCCAAGGGACAATGAAAACTATAGCTACAACGACTGATGTTATTGTAAACAGATTCCATCACTAGAGGGTAGTGCTGATTGTTTACTTGTCAAGATTTTTATTTCAGGCATGCAAGAATGTTTATCCACATGTAAAGGAAGTTCAGCCACTTGTCATTACCATAATTTTATAATCATGAAAATTGCTTTTTGGCCTGACAAAAAACATTGGGGCAGCTCAAATATGAAAAGTGTGGGGATGCTTGTTCAAAAATTTGAATTAAACCCCTAAAGGAGACCAAGCTGGGTGTGACTCTAACTTTATTCAACCTCTTAAGGATACCACTCCGAACAGAAAAGGCTCAAATGCAGTTTGCTGTTCAGGAAAGGAGCCTGCTCTAGTGGACTGTTGGAAATCAAGCCAAAAAATGGAAATGAGAGTGTTCTTTAATCATTTTTTCTCTGAGTGAACCCTAAAAGATACTCTGACAGGTACAAGTAGTGGTGTTTTGTCATGAACACCCTAAGTTTGACAAGAATCCTTTGTTTATACCCCTAAGCAAGTTGATGAGCATCCCCAACCTTTTCATAAGGGAGTACCCCCTGGGCAAAAAAAAAAAAAATTGTTATTACTCTCCTTTGGTTCACATTCTCTTGAATAGCCAGAGAGATACAGCAAACCAATCAAGCTTTTAAACTGACAGAAACACTCAAACTACATGTAGAAAGTATTCATATTCGTAATTCTTTAATGGTACATACATGTATGGTGTACCACCATTATGTAAATTACATTTTGTAAATACTGTACTTGACATAAGCAAACTTCTGCCATCTCCTCCAGTCACTTAGTATGGAATTGAACAATGTGGCTTACTACTGAGATTGTAAAGAATGCACAGCTAATGTAATCCAGTGTAGAAGGTAACTTATTAACATCATCTTGTGGTATCTAAGACCCACTTTCTGTTTCTTCACAACATGAACGTAAATGGACTCAAAATTTTTGCTCTCAATTCAACCAATTCACCAAATTGACTTCTTAAAACCTGCAACCAGTTTTTACATACATGTACCGGTACCTTGTGCTACAGATGTATGTATTTCTAGTAAAACATGTAAACATACATTTTGTACAATAATATTAATAAGTTGTTTACTAACTTGCCTTGCAGGAGATCAATTAATAAATAGCAAAACAATGATCGTTGTTTCATCATGTACAATACTGTACATGACACATACCAACCATTAACTAAAGAGGTTTCAGTGAACACTTACTAAATTTTTGGAAATTCTCTTTATACAGTTTTTGTACAAAGAATTTTCTTCTGGTCTTATTGTATGAGTTTTTCACTGATTTCTAGAAATTACTACTCAATAAGTAAAACACAAAACAAGCCATTTAACTCTATTGGTTTAGCTCCATGTGATGGGGCACTGGTGGTTGTCCCAAAATAGGCTTATGCAAACGTTGCCGAATGGAGCCTCGATGTCGCGCAGATAGGAAGGCTCTCCCTGGAACAAAAATGGAGCCATCTTCTCTTTGATTGATCCGCAAACGGTGAAGTCGCAGAGGGTGATGAGCCGGTTCAACATCATCATCTATTTGTGGGCATTCATCAAAAGATGGATAGTTGTCTTCGCCTCTAAATCTTTCATTTAGGGTGAAGAAGTAGAATGGGAGACTGTGGTCCATTCTCTTGCAGAATTCCCTGAAACAAAATACCCAGTTACAAGTAAGACAAACAGTTTCAGACTTTTGAAAAATATTCTGTGCAATGACAGAGAGACACTGGACCTTTAGTTTGCAGCATGCATTTCTTAATTGGACTCTAGGATCAATTTGGCAATTTTAGTCATGTGCAAAATTCAATTTGAAAAAAATGCATTATCAAACATTGGAATTTGCACAATTTAGAGACATTGTGACAAAATTCAATATTGCATTGGCTACATATGAATGCCAATCGACCAAATTTACTTTTTGGAAACATACAGAACTATAAAGCAAAGAAGTACACTAACAGTATTACACCATTTTTCTGCAGTGTTACTTAAGTGTTGATACACATACCTGACTAGTTTTTGCCACATCTCTTTGAACTGCTTGAGGGAGAAAAGCATTCCAAGGTAGCGGTGAGCAATGCTGAAAAAGGTTTCCAGGTCATCTGTTCCCCCTGCCCTGGGATGCTCTGCATAGCCAATCTCCCAATTTTGTCGCCGGTGGAGTTCCTGACTTTCTATGTTCGAAGTCATCTCTATAAGGGTTTCTCTGGAGAAACCTCTGATGCAGTCAACTGGTCTAAATGTAAAAATAATGAAAGGTCTTTTACATTGCATCTAGGTTTTTGCTGATGGAATATATGAAAATAGCATTATAGCCATACTCAAACCAATCAGTCTAGTCTTGAAATCATACCTATACATTATTTATTTGTAGAACTCCAATTTTGATTAAAGAAGATATGGAAAACATTTTGAAATAAAACTAAACGCTATAACATGACATTTCAATGTTATCTTGTTGACATTATCAAATTCAGATTTTAGTCGTTCAGTTCAGATATCTACTAGCTTAGGTGTTAAGGAGTCACAAAATATGTCAAGAACAATGTGACCTAATTAAACTCTTGTGTCCTAATAGAGTCCACTTATGTGTTCAAATTTGATATTTTTTCTTTGACTAGCAACAATTCATACATCAGGCATTCCAGCCTCACTTCTCCAAGACTTTGAATTGCTTGTGCAGATTTATGTAATTCCAATTCAATCTAAAATTTCGTGTACATTTATTACAATTCATTCCAAAAAAAAGGTACTGGTTTATCTAAATCTACATCCAAAGTTATTCAAAAATTTCGAGATGTTTATACAAGTGATTTTACATAAGTAATATTAATCAATCATTTTGTACTAACTTGTTGATGTCAATGGATCTGAAGTCATAGTTCTCAACATGCCATGGCATCCATTCATCCAAGATGTAGTTTAGTATCTGGTAGTTGTACTTGCAACGCTGTAGCTGACTGAGACCTCTACCATCAGTGGCTTCGTGCCACTGTGTTAGGACTTCAATGTGACGAGCCTCTTGGTGATGTGCACTGCGACGAAGTGAGGAAACAACATGAGTTGATATCAGCCTTTCCGCATCAACAAGGGATTGTTTCCTCTTTCCAATGAGTGCTGCGTGAGTAAGTCCACTGAAAATCAACAGTCGATTAATATTTAGACCATTTAATGGATGCCATGTATATTAACAGTAATTTTACTTTTGGGTGAACCCTGGCTAGCCAAAGATCTCTAGGGCACTAGAATGGCAACTCAACCATAGCTCATAACTCATGTTGTATGTTCAAGTTTACAAAAAGGAGAACCACACTTGAGAAAACTGCAAATTAAATAGCAAAAACTCAAACAGAATAAATGTACTTTCAGTTTAGGAAAAAGAAGCTGTTGAAAGAACAAGAAAACACTGTTTCAAATGAAAATATACCTTTGATAAAATTTTTTCGCTAAAACAAATCTAGACTTTATTTGAAGCATTTGGGCGAAGAAATTTTTGAATTTGGTTGAATCCTCGATTTTCTATGCCCTTTCAAAGT